TCAATAAAATAATTGGGGGGTACCTCCCAACAAACAAAAGCTGAGGACCTGATGGCTTGACCGGTGAATTCTACCAAACATTTAAAGAATTAATACCAATCCTCTCAGATTCTACCAAAAAGTAGAAGAGGAGGGAACACTTCCAAACTCGTTTTACAAGGACAACGTTTTCCTGATACTAAAACCAGACAAGGACACTACTAGAAAAGAAATTATAGGCCAATATCCCTGACAAACTAAATTGAATTAAAAATTAACTAAAATGAATTAACAATTTGAACATAAGATCTGAAACCATAAAACGTCTACATGCAAACATAGGCGGTAAGCTCTTTGATATCATTCTTGGCAATGATTTTTTGGAATTTGACATCAAAAGCAAGGGCAACAAAAGCAAAAATAGATAAGTATGACTACATCCAACTAAAAGGCTTCTGCACAGCAAAAAAAAAACAAAAAAAAAAACTATCAACAAAATGAAAAAGTGACATACTGAAGAGGGAACATATTTCCAAATCACATATCTAATAAAGGTTAATCTTCAAAAAATATCTGAAAGTACTCATACAACTCAACAGCAAAGAAACAAAAATCGAATTTTAAACATTTTCCCAAAGAAGATATACAGATGACCAACAAATATTGATACATGAAAAGGTGCTCAACATCACTCATCTTCAGGGAAACGCCAATCAAAACCATGACGATCCCGCTCACACCTGTTGAAATGGCTACTATCAAAAAGAAAAGAAATAACGAGTGTTGGCGAGTATGTGGAAAAAGGAATCCTTGTGTACTATTTGTGAGGCTGTGAATGGTGCAGCCTCTATGGAAACAAGATGGCGGTTCCTTAAATATAATAAAAATAGAACTACCACAGTATTCCACTTGTAGGTATTTATCCAAAGTAAATGGCAGCACTAAGTTGAAAAGATACATGTACCTCTATGTTCAATGCAGCATTATTTTTACAAAAGCCAAGGTATGAAAGCCACCTAAGTGTTCATTTATGCGAAAGAAAATGTGAGATATGTATAATGGAATATTATTTAGCCATTAAAAAGAAGGAAATCTTGCCATTTATAACCACATGGATGGACCTTAAGAACATTATGCTAGCTGAAATAAATCCAACAGAGAAAGACAAATACTGAATGATCTCACTTATAGGTAGAATCTAAAACAAAACAGAATCAAACGCATAGATAAAGAGAACAGATTGGTGGTTGCCAGAGTCAGGGGCTGGGAGGATGGGCAAAATGATTGAATGTGGTCAAAAGGTACAAACTCTCAATTATAAAATAAACTAGAGACTCAGTGCACAAAATTCGTGCGGGGGCGAGGGGAGGCCTGTCCCTCAGCCCAGCCTGCGCCTTCTCCATTCTGGGACCCCTTGAGGGATGTCCGACTGCCTGTTTAGGCCCGATCCCTGTGGGTGAAACAGTCGGACATCCCTCTCAAAAGTTGGCACTGCTGGTTCCTGACTGCTCGCCTGCCTGATTGCCCCTAACCACTCTGCCTGCCAGCCTAATCATCCCCTAACCACTCCCCTGCCAGGCCAATCGACGCCTATCTGCTCCCCTGCCGGTCCAGTTGCCCACAACTTCTCTCTCCTGCCAGCCCAGTCACCTCCAACTGCCCTCCCCTGCCAGCCTGGTTGTCCCTAACTGCCCTCCCCTGCAGGCCTGGTCACCCCCAAATGCCTTCCCCTACAGGCCTGGCCATCCCTAACTGTCCTCTCCTGCAGGCATGGTCCCCCCCCCGCAACTGCCCTCCCCTGCTGACCATCTTGTGACAGCCATCTTATGTGAGGGCATGATGGTCAATTTGCCTATCACCTCTTTATTATATAGGATAAGTCCTATGGATATAATATACAGCATGGTGACTATAATTAATAATACTGTATTATATATGGAAGTTGCTAAGAGAGTAGGTCTTAACAGTTCTGATCACAAGAAATATTTAGTAACCATAAAGAAGAAGCATGAAATGACAAGTATGTGCATGGGGCATGAGAGGGTTCACCAATCCAGGAAGTCCACCACAAAAGCTACAGAACAGATGACTGATCTCATTATTCTAAGGGTTGACATCTCTAAAAGAGATCAACTTACTATAAATATACATATAAATTTAATATCTATTCACATTACATTTTTCCAGCACTCTGGATGAACATTATTTTGGTTAAGAAAGAGAAAGAAGCTAGCGTTTATGGACATGTCTCAGTTCCCACTCTACCCCCTTAAGTCCTACAATGCTTACTTAAGCTGATTTGATTGTTTTTATGCATCCTATTCAGTTTCTGACCACTGAGGGTGCAGGGAGCACTGTGGTCAGGTGACCCTATATCAATTACAGGCCTCACCCTTGTACAGTAGCCACCTGGCTTAGAGGAAAAGACCCAACCCCAGATTTAGGGGTGAGCCTGTTTGGGTGTAAGCTAATTAAAATATGTATGTGGCCACCAGGAGATGGGCAATTAATCCAACCCAGTCAACTAATTTCTACAAGACAGCAGGGCCAAGAGAATTGCAAAACAAACAAAAACAAACAAACAAACAAAAAACAACCCTTGCCAAAACCGGTTTGGCTCGGTGGTGGAGCGTCGGTCTGCGGGCTGAAAGGTCCCGGGTTCGATTCCGGTCGGGGCATGTACCTGGGTTGCGGGCACATCCCGGTAGGGGGTGTGCAGGAGGCAGCTGGTCGATGTTTCTCTCTCGTCGACGTTTCTAGCTCTCTATCTCTCTCCCTTCCTCTCTGTAAAATATCAATAAAATATATTTTTTTAAAAACCCTAAAACTAGTTTTGATGATTTCACGAATTTCTAGAGCAAATTATAACTGATGGGCACCCAACTATTAGACTTTTCAGTTCTGTGAGCCAACAAAGCTGCTTTATAGTTTAAGCCGGTGTGAGTAGAAACCAGTGGAATTTGAAATGACACAAAGCGGGTCGCTGGAATGCATCCTCTTCTTTGATAGAGTCGTTAACTGGGTTTTATAGATGTACAGGACTCTGCCCTTATTCACTCACATAAGCCCGTGCAGTGAGTGGGAAGGGCTAATATATCTCCCATGGAACATCCCAGGTTCACTTGACTCCAGACCTTTGGGAGATAAAGGCTAGGACAGGGGACTCTCCTAAATCCAGCCATGGCCTCTTATTTAAAAGGACACACACGCTTGGCTTCCTTCTGCTTCTTGCTCCTCCTCCTGGGGCCATCTAGGATTTCTCTTTTTTTTTCTCTTTCTTTTTTTTTTCCCCCTTTTTAAAATATATTTTATTGATTTTTTTACAGAGAGGAAGAGAAAGGGATAGAGAATTAGAAACATCGATGAGAGAGAATCATCGATCGGCTGCCTCTTGCACACCCCCTACTGGGGATGTGCCCGCAACCAAGGTACATGCCCTTGACCAGAATCGAACCCGGGACCCTTCAGTCCGCAGACCAACGCTCTACCACTGAGCCAAACCGGTTCTGGCAAGGATTTCTTTTGGGATCACGGTTCTGGAGACAATCCTGAGGAAAACCCCCCGGTAATCCTCCTCTGAGGAATGATGAGAAATTCTCAGCCGCCACCCTGGACCATTCCCCGGGCCTCTCAAATTTCCTGAGGTCTAATCAAGCAAAGGAAGTATACAGGACTCTGGTTCCTTGGCTTATTTAGTTCCTTGGAGCTGAGTTTAAAGGGAATGATTGTTTAAGCATCTCTCAGTACCTTAAGACCTGCCTACCAAGGCTCAGAAACAGGGAAGGTCCCTATCCTTCCATGGAGGACAGAATGACTCCATAGAAGAAGCCATAGGCTGAGGATTCAGGAGCGGAGCAGGCCTGCTGAGGACAGGACCAGTGGACATCGCTCATTCACAGGGTCACCAGGTGTTGGACCAACTCGATGGCATGTACAGCACGCCTCCCTCTTCCCCGAAAAGGCATACAAACCCCACGAGGGGGCTGGCTTTCCCTCACTGGATTCTAACAGTTGGAAAGATGCCTGGGGCAGAGTGGGTGCATTAACTCAGTTCCTTAAACACTTCTCCAACTGAGCCAACATTGGGTTGTTTAGCCTCTGTCCACGACAGTAGGCTATCCATTCATCCGGCCTCACATCAGTGTTCCACTGGATAAATCCTTCTTACTGGAAATTGACCAAAAAAAAAAAAAAGGTGCCTTTTCCTTAATGCCTATGATTTCCTTAATGTCTAACGTCCCTGAGAAATTACCTCTTTTTCCCCCCCTAGGGCAGTGGTTCTCAGCCTTTCTAATGCCTCGACCCTTTAATACAGCTCCTCCTGTGGCGGTGACCATGTCGTAGTCTGTAGCTGTGGTTTTCAATGTTAGGATCGCCTAAGACCATCGGAAAACACAGGTATTTACACTGATTCATTAACAGGAGCAAAATCACAGAGATGAAGTGGTGTAATTCTATGGCTGGGCCACCACACCATGAGGAGCTGGACTAAAGGGTCCCAGCATTGGAAGGACCGCTGCCTGAGGGCTGACTTGCCAGGGTAAGTGGTGCCAACCCTCAGTAACCCTCCTGAAGCCGCTTCCTTCGGCGGCCGATTTAATCACAGAACTAAATAGCGGCTCCATACCATCCGGCAGCTCATGTGCTTGCATCTAGCATTTCGTTACCAAGGCAGTTCCCTCCTCTCTCCAGCTCTGTCCCGGTTAAGCCCAGCTCCTATCTGGCGCCCTCCTGGTTCTTACACTCCTGGACCCGCTCCTCTCCGCTCCCGGGCCGCCTCCCTTTGCACTGAAGCCCACAGGACCCCGCGGGCGCCCGGCTCAGTTCCCCTGTTCTCACTTTTTGTCCAGCGCCTCCCCGCCCCTGGCGTCTGTCCCCCGGCCCCGGCCCGGCCCGGCCCCGCTCACCTGCAGCCGGTGCTCACCCACCCCGGCCCCGGCCCGGCCCGGCCCGGCCCCGCTCACCTGCAGCCGGTGCTCACCCACCCCGACCCCGGCCCGGCCCCGGCCCGGCCCGCTCACCTGCAGCCGGTGCAGGTGCAGGACGTAGCCTCGCACCAGCAGCTGGAACAGGAAGCGCAGCTGCCCGGGGCCGGAGAGCTCCTCGGGGCTCCGCAGCCTCGGGGCGCCGGGCCGGGCGTCGGGGGCCTCGGCCGCGTCGGCCGCCGGGAGGGCGCCGGGCAGCGAGGCCTTGGCCCTGGCGAGCGGCCCGAGGCCGGGGCGGGCCCCCCGCGGCCCCCGCGGCCCCCGCAGCGCCCAGCGCAGCCCCGCGCGGCTGCCGGCGGCCAGGCGGTTCATGGCTCCGGCGGAGCGGGCGGTGCGGGCGGAGCGGGCGGTGCGGGCGGAGCGGGCGCAGCGGGCGCAGCGCCGGCGCCGGGCACGGAGCGGAGCGGGAGGCGGGCTGAGGGCGATGCCCCTGCGCCTGGTCCGTCCGCCCGAGGCCGCCGTCCAGCTGTGAGCCCGCCCGGCGGGGAGGGACCGTTACCTCCGGCCGGGATGCCCCGGGCTGACCGTGGCCGCGGCCGCCCCCCCGCGGGCCCGCGCGCGCTCCCGAGAGTCAGGGGGCCCGAGCGGAGCGCCCGGAGGTCTGGGAACCCGGCTCCCGGCCGGCGGCGGGGCGGGCCGGGTGGAGGGCGGGGTGCGGGGGCGAGGGGGAGGGAGGCGGAGGGCACACCCGGTAACGCCCGCGCCTGACTTGCGGGTTCACCGCCGCTGAGATTTAGCCGGCTGAGTGGCCACCGGCCTAGAGAACAGAACAAAGCCAAGAGGCCCGTGGCTGAGGGCAGCCGGTTCCCGGATGGGAAGCCAACCAGCAACTGTAAAGAGCTTTTCAAACGCGATCCTACCCCTTCCCCTCTCGCTCCCCACCCCTCCCGGCCCTGAGTGTGCTAAGGCAGAGCTTTTCCAGCTGCAGGCTGAGATCAGATTAGTGAGTGTAAGCAGATTTACTTTTCAGCAAGATGGGGGGGGATAATACAGAAAATATTGCAAGAAGAAAAAGTATTGTTTCATGAATTCTTTCATATATATTCAAAAGTATGCTTTTCAAAAAAGTTAAAAGCGTGACATACAAGTATAAAATAAATAAGGGTCACAGTTATTCAACCCCTTCGTGACAGAACCAGCAAAAGTCAAGTTTGTTCTACGAGCATTGGAGGAGTCGGTATGGACTGGCACCCAGAGGGGTAAGGGGCACATTAAGTTCAAAGGGACAATGAGACTGACAGCTGATGTGGCTAGGTATGGGTTTCTTTATACTTATCCCACCTGAGGCGTCATAGAGTTTCTTGAATCTGTGACTTAATGCCTTCATTGGTTTGGGAAGTTTTTCAGGCATTAAACTGTTCAAACACTGTTTCTGTTGGAAATGGGGGTGGGGTGGGGTAATGGCACCAGGTCTTAGACCTATGGGGTCAGACCTGAGTTCAGCAACTTTGGTACTTGAATTCCAGCTAAGAAAGAATTCAGAGTCAATACTCAAACTGTAAGAGAACATTTCAGCTGGCTGGCCCAAACGTCACACAAGAGCCCTCGCTGGTGTGGCTCAGAGGCTAGAGCGCTGGCCTGTTGGCTTCAATTGCAGTCAAGGGCATGTACATTGGTTGCAGGCTCCTTGGGTCCTGGCCCTGGCCCTGGCCCTGGTCGGGTTCGTGCAGGAGGCTACTAATGGATGTTTCTCTCACATCGATGTTTCTCTATACCTTTCTCTCTCTCTTCCACTCTCCCTAATAATCAATAGAAAAATATACTCAGGTGAAGGTTAACAAAAAAAATAAAAAATAAAGAAAAGTCACACAACATTTTCTTTTGAAATTTCTGGAAATTTGCTTCCCAAAGTTGTCTGATTGTCCATTATCTTGGTCACCAGACCCAGGAACGTTTGTGAAAACAATAATAATGTATTAAATGATTCAATCCTTCCCTGCCTGGTATGGTTGAGTTGGTTGGGTGTCGTGCTGTGCAACGAAGGTCTCTGGTTCGATTCTTGGTTGGGATGCGTACCAGGGGCAATGGATTGATGTTTCTCTCTCACATTGATGTTTTTCTCTTTCTCCCTCCCCCTTCCTCTTGCTCTAAAGTCAGTGAGAACCAGCTGGTTTGCTTCCTCTATTGGTTAGCTTCAACATCTCATCCTAAATTATTTTTCTTCTCTTTAAGACTACAGTCTAAACCTACAAAAAATCAGTGAATGTTAATTATTTTGCTGCAGAGCAAAGCAGCTAGTTTCTCTTCTGCTTTCCTTGGGTATGCAGGAGAACTGCTGCATCTCAGAAGGTCTACATTAGCGCTCTCTCTCTCTCTCTCTCTCTCTCTCTCTATATATATATATATATATATATATATATATGAGTAAAATTGATTTTTTACAGAAAGAAAGGGAGAGAGATAGAGAGCTAGAAACATCGATGAAAGAGAAACATAGATCAGCTGCCTCTTGCACACCCCCTACCCAGGATGTGCCCGCAACCAAGGTACATGCCCTTGACCGGAATCGAACCTGGGACCTTTGAGTCCACTGAGCCAAACCGGTTTCGGCTACATTAGCTCTTAATGACTATATTCAGGGAAAGGCACCTGCCTTCATTAAAGTCTTTCAAGCCAACAATTACCTGATTGGGGATGAGAGCATGTGGCCAACTCTTCCACATGATGCTTCCCCCAGAGATTTGCAATACCTTATATATCTTTTCTTCAATTCTAATATATATTTGGATCTATTCCTGTATTCTTTATCCCAGAAGTAGAAAATCAAAATAGCTTGAAATGAAGAGTGGCAAGATCATTACAGAACTGCATGTATGTTGGAAGAAATTGCAGCAGCCACCTTGGGAAAAAATCAGGCTCCCGTGCTAGCCAGCGTCCACCAGAATGAGTAAAATTACAAAGGCAAGGGAATAAAATTAAAAACACTAACATTACAAATGATCAAGTGTTGCCTCCTTTTCAACTGGACCCTTCATATTATAAAGGCAGCGTTTGTGTTTATTTTGCATGTGTCATGAAGAGATACTTTGTTCTTTTCTAAAAGTCAAATCTGGCCGAAACCGGTTTGGCTCAGTGGATAGAGCGTTAGTCTGCGGACTGAGGGGTCCCAGGTTCGATTCCGGTCAGGGGTATGTACATTGGTTGCGGGCACATCCTCGGTGGGGGGTGTGCAGGAGGCGGCTGGTCGATGTTTCTCTCATTGACATTTCTAGCTCTCAATCCCTCTCCCTTCCTCTCTGTAAAAAATTAATAAAATATATATTTTTAAAAATAAAAGTCAAATCTACTTACTTGCATAGAATAAAACTCATCCATATTACGTGTACAATTTGATGAGTTTGGACAAACTCAAGATATAGAATATCTCCCAAGCACCCCTTTATAGCCAATCCCGCTCCTCACATAATCCCCGACAACTGCTGATGGGCTTTTGGTCAGTTTGCCTTTTCCAGAATGTTATATAAATAAAATTATAAAACATACAATCGTGTTTCTGGCTTCTTTCACTTAGCACTAGGTTCCCCGAGAACATGAGATGTGAGGGACAGCCCCCTTTTCTGCACGCCTGCTTCTCTGGAGGCTCTCTGCTCAGGACTCATGCCCCTGACGCTCTATCCATTGAGCCAAACCGGTTTCGGCAATCGTCAGTGTTTCTAAGCCTCAGAGCAGCTGGGGCAGAGCAGTAGAGAGCTGAGCCTTAGTCTTAAAGGACAAATCCAGAGGCCGGGAGGGGAAGTCTCCTGGCTGCTCTTTGATAACTAATCCAGCTGGCAAGGGCGGAGGATGTACTGTGTACCCACACTGTCAGTCTCCTCCACTGGCGCCCTGCTGTATTGCCCCCGGGGCAATCAGGCACGGCCTTTGGCTCTGGTGACTAAATAGCTGTAACCATAGAATTAACCTGTAATGACAGCTGTCCCTTGGCAGAGCTGTTGGGGAGGTGCGTCTGTTCTTTGGCTCCAGCTCCAGTTCAAGGTCTCTATTTTCTTTACGATGCCCCTCCCCTTCCCCGTCACCAGGCACCCATTGCTCCCTTGCTCTCCTTTTCTTATCAAAGCTATCTCGGGCTAAGATAATAATTTCATTTAGTTCACATATTTCTAATGCTTAATATGCTTCCTTACCAGAGAATTTGCATTGTGTGCGCCTTGGGTGAAGGTGGCAGTGATGTGGCACCTAAACCCTGTGCTGGCCTTCTTCACCTCTGAACTGGCTCTCCAGCTGCTGCACTTCCCTCGTGGAAGGGGTTTTACATTCTTACCTGCCTTTCCTATCCAAGACAGGGGTTGGATAGCAAATAGAAGGAGTGCCATGAATTAAGTACCCTCTAAGTCCTAAGTGGTTTTACTGTATTTTACTGAGCTTTCACAATCCTGCAGTATAGGTATATTCATATTATTAAAAAACAAAGTGGTAGTTGAGGTCACACAGCAGAACTGAGATTTGAACCCAAGGGCAGCCTCCAATTCCACCTCTTCATTAGTATTTATTCTAAGTCACTTAATTTTCTATCAATCCTGAGTGAATCTGAAGTAAAAAGCAATAAGCAACCCTTGTCTTCTACCCTAAATCTGTACCCCAGTACTCCAGAAATACTCTGTACTGCACTCCCTTCTCTAACAGGGTCTGGGTTAAGTTAGGAAAACAACCAACATGTCCTGACATTTATCCTACTATATCCCCAACTTTAAACTTGCAAAGAAATCTCATTACTTCTCCAAAATCCTTACTAAGCTGAACACCTTATACTATGGGTGTTCATTGCTAAGTATGTATGCTGAATGCTTAAGTAAGATTTAATTTTCTCCCAATGATAAAAGGAAAATATAATACATAAACCCCATTCCTTCTCCCACCCAGCAAAACACACCTATCCTATACTCAAATGTGATAAAAAATGAAAAACAATGCATGTGCAAACATGTTTTAAACTACCAAGAACACTCTATTTTCATCATTTAATTTCCTAAGTCCTTTCCCACCTCTCTCCCTACCCCCACTCTGTTCCCATCACGCTGCAATGCTGGTTCCCTCTCCAGCTGCAGGGGCTGGCCATGCTGTCAGAGGTGGCCGGAGAACTGAAGCTGGGTTGCAAGGAGTAAGCCAGCTCAGAGAGGCCTCTAAGCCGAAGCCCTTGACCAGACCAACCACAGAACTGCTTACACAGGTGGCTAGTTTTCCTAGGAAGGCTGCTTACTGTCCTTGCCACAGGGCTCACTGTGACGTTTTTGCATCCAGGTGGGACAAGGAGTTGGCTTCAAGGACCTCTCCTGCTGGGCTACCTCAGGACTCTGCCAAGCTTTCTGCCCAACTTGTCAACATGGCCTTCACAGCGGCCAGCCCAGTCTTGTGAGGCCTTAAACCTAGTCAGACCTCGTAGTGATTTTTCCATGGCTCCATTCCAGCTTGCCACAGAACTCCAGGGCCATAAAGCAGAGTAGTCTCCATCTTCCCAAAGCTCTGAATGATAGCAGAGCCCAGGACAGGACTGTGTGCAGAGCTCCCTGCCTGGTGTGCAATGGGAAAACTTGAGTATCACAGATGGGCCAGTGGCTTCTTGTTGGGTCCCGTGGATAGAAAAATAACGGGATGTCAGGGCAGGGGAAGGGGTGAGCAGTAACCAGGAAGTACCTTTGTATGGGTTAAGAAGGAACACAGTTCAAGTGAAAAGAACCTTTCTGACCCAAACTTCCCACCTTGGATTCCCTTGGTGCCCCTTTGCCCCAGGGGAGAGAGTGTCTTTGGAGATCTCCATCTGTACAGTCACTCAAACATTTATTGAAGTCACTGTTTCACTGAGTCTTAGGGAGGGAGGTAGATTCAGTTAAGAGTACAAGAGTGTAGGCAGCAGTCTGACTGGAAGCCCATCCTACAATGAGTGACTTCTTCTGAAATCCGCCTGCCATGCCACCAGACGCTGCTTGCCCTAGCGACCTGTGAGCCAGACCCCATTACTCAGAAACAGCGAAGTAAAGAGACCACAAGCCTTCCTCTAGGTTATGGGAAATCACAGCCCCTTCTGCGCTCCCCCAGGACTGTGTCCATTGATATACGGACAACAGCAGGTAGGGTCATCGGGCTCCTTGACTGGGGCCGTGGGAAATTCACAAACTGGCTCTTCCCCTCACAAAGCCAAGAGTTGGAGAGGAAACATCCATGACTGAGAAGTCTAGAAGGTTGACTGAGAAGCGTTACGAGGTCAGAATATGGGGGCCACTGGCTGGGTGGACATGTTTTCTCCTCTTGAACTCTAATTCAATCCCTGCGTCACGGCCTAAAACAAACCACACACAGCTCTCTGAGGTGGAAAGCAAAGCCTGCTTTATAAGGCAGAGTAGCGATCACCGGCTTCTCTGCTGAGATACAAAGGTACCAGCCAATGAACCTTCACCTTCTCCCTGTCCCCACCTCCCCACCGCCCCTCCAGATGCCCATCTCTGTAATTTCATTGCTTCAAAAAAATACTCTGCAGAGGGGGACGGAGAGGGGGCAGGGGCTTGGACTGGCTGGCTGGCCAGTTCCCGTGAGGTAGCTACACCAGTGCTCCTGGACAGGGGCTAGTGGAAAGAGGCGTCATGGGCTCACAGCAGCCAGGAGGGAGTTGCTGGGGGGCTGGGAGTTGGTGGAAGCAGAGAGTCTCAAAGTCTGCCCAGAGTATTTGTTCACAGGTAACAGCTGCCTGGAGAGGCTGGGCTCTTTGCCGGCGTCTTCACTGTCTTTTGAGGAAATGGCTTTCCTGGGGAAAGAGGAAAAAGGCAAGTCTGGGTCTCCTTGGACTTGGATATAGTCCCGTCTTCAAAGAGTGGTATGATTCCCTCCGAGAAGCTGTGTTTTGGGTTGTTGTTGTTGTTGTTATTATTGTTTTTAGAGAATGGGGACAAAGAAGTAGTTGAGACACTCAACCATGGTTTTATGGAGGTATAAATAATTGTAAATAAGTACAAGTATAAATGTGTGTGAGGGTAGGAGGGCTAAAAGATTTCCTACAGCTAGTGGGTGTGGCAGAAAGTGACCATTTCTACAGATGATTCTGTGCTCAGCTCAGCTCAGCATCCTGGGCATACCAAGAGCCAACCAATTGAAAAATGCTGATTTCATAACAGTCTGGGCATATCGGGAAAAAGACATTATAGCTGAAGATTCTGAATATCAACCAATTGAGAAATGCTGGCCTCACCATGATCTGGGAAGAGAGAAAGGAACAAAACTCTCTGAACTCACCCCATTAAGATACTGTGTGTCAAATGAAGGGTACAATTAAAAAGGTATCTGAAGTCCTACCCAACACCGCGTCCTTGCACACTCACCCCAGCTTGCCAGGATCTGGTTTGGAGGAAGCACTGACCCCATCACCCTTTGGCACCGTCAGAAGCGATGTCGGGAGAGACCACTGAAAGCAAAGCAAACAGCGAGCCTCAAACATTCCAGGTCTTGGCACTCTGGCACTCTGCCTCTGAGTGGTGATCAGGGGCCCCTGGGACAGTCTTGGTTTCCTCCCTACTGAGACAAAAAGTTGAGGCTACAAAGCACTTTTTGATCCTTGAAAGAAAGGCACCCAGGGAATCCTAGAGGTAGTTATTCCTTTGAAAAGGAAGGGCCACGAGACACAAAGGGAGGGCCCAGGGAGAAGTGGGAGGGTCTGGACCTCTACCCACCCACACTGCACTCCTCACGCAGAGGAGGACTCTGTAACGGAGCTGCCCCTCCTCCCCATGGGATCACTCACCACTGGAGCAGACTCAGTGATGGCTCCCGTGTGGAACCCCTGGTGGCACCAACTCCTGAGCAAATCCACGCCTAGGACAAGAGCAGGGGTGGGTTTAAGAGAGTGGCATTCACTGGCCAATTCTTGCCAGGGAGGCCCATTTCCCGGTCTACAGAGACTTAATCTCTCACTGCTAGACAACAGGGAGGACACATCACCTTTGAGCTTGTTGCCATGGTACTTCTGCTCCCACTGGGTGGTGAGAATGTTGAAATAACGTGGCTGCTCAAAAAAGCGGAGATAGCGAGAAGAAATCCGAGAAGGAAAAATTCGTTCAAATTGACCGCGGCGGGAAAACTCGTCTTCCGTCTCGACCAGAACCCGAACGTCATCCGGCGTCAGGACATCCAGCACCGACGCGTAGAAGTCCTGTGGCCCAGGGAACAGGGAGGAGAGCAGGACAAAAATGTCAGACAGACACAGGGAATCAAGAAGCCAGGGTCAGAGAGAACAACGCTGGGGCCCGTGGGGAGCACCAAGGCAGCTGGTGGGCCCCATCTGTTCCCGGTTTACTGGGCTTAGCTGGAGGTGCATATGTTCTTGGTCAGGGTGAGGGGAACCACTGGAGCACAAAGGTTAAGTGGTCTGTTGGATGGGATCAATATCAGAATCCAGCAACTCAGATTTGGCAATAGCCTTATGTCTGTTCCCTTCCATCCAGCTCCCTCACCTGCTGAGAAAGCCAAGCCTTCCAGGGCTCATGCACCTCAGGGAGAGAACCCAGAGGCTCTCCCACAGCGCTGAGGACAAGGTGGGCGAGCACGGAATTCGGCCCAGGGCAGTGGGTCTTGAATACGAGATAAAGGCCATGGGAGATGTTCATGCCGGCTATCTCTGCCCACAAGGAGGCTGCGGACCCAGACTAGGAAAGCTGCCCAGGCAGAAGAAAGACTGGTCCCCAGTGTCTGAGCAGAGAAGCTTTCCGCTGGCACTGGGGGTGGGGGGGGGTGGGGGTAATCTCCTACCTGATCAGGAATTTTCTGCGTCAGGTAATAGGCTTTCTTCAACTTCTGTGCAGTGATTTGTTCTGGGGCCATTTGGCATTTGTCCCTGGGGGAGCTGGGCAGGCTAAGGCAGAGGGCAGAAAGGGAGAAAGGGTAAGGTCAGTAGCTTCACGGCCTGAGGACATGTGGAGAGAGGGCCCAGCTCAGGAAGACACCCTTTTTAAGAAAAGAAAGAAGTATGGACAGATGTTACTGAGTAGATTGGTGTGCAATGCACCCCATTCCCGCAGGCTGTATAAGCGTCGAAGAGCAAGGCCCATGGGGAAACGTAAGGGGCGTGGCCCTCTGGTGTGGCTCAGTGAGAGCATTGGCCCTGAAGGGTCTTGGGCTTGATTTCCAGTCAAGGGCATGAGCCTGGGCTGCAGCCTGAGCTGCAGATTTGATCCCCAGCTCCGGTGAGGGCGCATGCAGGAAACAACCACTGATGTGTCTCTCATCTCAATGTTTCTCTCTCTCATCCTCCCTACATTCCCTTCCTCCCATGCTCTGTAAAATTTCTTCAGGTGAGGATTAACCAAAACAAAACAAAAAAAGTAAGGAGTACAAAGTGCCCTTCCTAGGTGCATTTCAATAGTTAAAAAGGGCCCTGGAATAATTACTGTATGCTCAGTTTAGTTTAACTTAGTGAACACTCACTAAATACCCAGCTTAACCCCACTGGCTTTGTGATCCTGGACAAATTACTTGACCTCCCTCTACCGTGTTCTCATCACCCCCATTACTACAATTATCACCGAGAGATACAAAGATGGCCTCCAAGGAGCTTACAGGATGGCAGGTGTCAAATGACGACGACAGCACAGAGCCCAACAGTCTCTTAAGGTATGGTAAGGAAAGCAAGCTTTGTTACTGGCAACTTAGGAACTGAATTCCAGCTCTGCCGCTTTGTAGCTGGATAACCTTCGGTGGGCTACTTAATCCTGGCGATTTTTCTAGCTTTCTCTTCTGTAACTGAAGATACCAATACCAGCCTCTTGGGGCTGCCACGGGGATAAGTTATAGGTTCTTCCTACATAAAGCAGTCCTGGCTAAGTGGTTCCGAGAGCAAGCTTCATGAAGACGCTGCCCTGAGTCAGGCTTCGATGGATGGGTGAAGTGAAACAGGGAGGTCTGGCTGAGGGGAATTTCAAGAGGAAGAAACCCTATGAGCAAAGGAGGGGACACTGGGGAAACAGTGAGAAGCACAAACGCCTGAGAGAGGAGACTGGGTTAACTGATCTTTAAGGGTCCTTCCAACCTTGGGGTTCTGAGTGGTCTGGTTCATCAGAGCCGAACACCAGAAGAGGAGGAAAGCGAGGGGTGCCTGGGAAACGGAGACTGGGGCCTTGATGCCATGTGAGGAGTAGAAAACCGAGACCCAGGCCCTAAGGCGATTCCTGAGCAGGCGAGCAGTGTAACTAAGTTTGCTTTTAGGGGCACAGACATGGCAGAGGTGTGTGGACAGCTGTAGGGACAGACCAAGCAGCAAAGGAGACCCAGCAGGTGGAACACACGGGCATTATTCCTTCTCAGAGTCGCAAAGGGCTGTTCGTGCTGCCAGCCACGCTGCAGACAAGCAAGGAGGCTCACCTGCTGGAGCTGCTGGAGCAGCTGGAGCTGGGGATGTCCTCTGTGTTGGGCAGAACAAAGCCCGCCAGGTTCAGAAGGTCACGGATCATCTGGCCTTTGATGCTGACGTCCAATGGCGAGTTAGAGTGGAGGCTTCAAGGAAAGGTTGGGAAGAGTGGTTAGAAACATGCTCTACAGACTGTTTCCAATCATATGTCCAAGTCAGTGCCAGCCCATTTACTCCCTGGCTCCCCCAGGGTAAAAGGACTCTGATCTTCAAACTCACCATGGGGTCTTCCCGCCCCCCAGACAGTGAGTAACCTTACTCAGGGAGGTTCTTGCCCATGACCTTCATTTGTTAAAAAAAAAGCAAGTGGTGGGAGCAAGTTCAAAAGAAGAAAATTTTTTTTTAAATATATTTTATTGATTTTTATACAGAGAGGAAGGGAGAGAGATAGAGAGTTAGAAACATCAATGAGAGAGAGTCATCGATCAGCTGCCTCTTGCACACCCCCTACTGGGGATATGCCCGCAACCAAGGTACATGCCCTTGACTGGAATCGAATCCGGGGCCCTTCAGTCCCCAAGCCGACGCTCTATCCATTGAGCCAAACCAGTCCCGGCAAAAGAAAAAATTTTTAACAACTCCTGCCCTAGCCAGTTTGGCTCTGAGAGCATCAGATTGAAGGGAACAAGGTTCAATTCCGGTCAAGGGCACATGCCTGGGTTGCGGGCACAAATCCCAGTTGGGGGAATAAAGGAGGCAGCCAATCAATGATTCTCTCTCATCACCGATGTTTCCATCTCCCTCTCCCTCTTTCTTCCTCTCTGAAATCAATAAAAATATATTTTTAAAAACTTTAACAACCCCTCTCCATCCTCAAAGAACCCTGAAATAATGGTAAAGAATGAGTAATGAATGAACAAACAGATGCTGAAGGGAAAACACAAATTCTAATGAAGGAGAGGTCTTCCCAAAGTCAGCAAGACTGGAGTAGAAATAGGATCTGAGCATAAGGAAGGGTTCTGCTGTGAGCAGCCTGACACCACCACCTACCTCGGGGAAATGTTGACCTCCAGGACCCAGGGCTTAAGGTTCTCATCCAGCATGATGTCAAAACCAAAGAGCTCGTGGCAACTATAGGGCCGCCGCACGTATATCTTCAGCAGGCTGGTCACATAGGGCTCTGACCTGCCACATGGAGAAGGGAGGCCTTACCCAGGGCCGCCCTGCCAAAGAAGTGGCCCAAAGATGGGAGAGCAGAAGCGAGCCAGAAAGAGCAGTGCTCAAGAGGCCTCTGATGTGGGGCCAGCTTCTGGGGATGGATTTCAGAGAAGAGCAGAATGTAATTCTATCCACTCCTTCCTGCTCCCTGAGGAACGGACACACAGCACAGTCTGGAGCACAGCAGAGTGGACCCATGAGAGAAGAGGGGCTCTGGGGGCAGGCCTCACACCAGGTGGCACTGTGACTCACGAGATGATGGTTTTGACAACAGCATCCTTTATCTTCTCCCAGATGGCATCACTATTGACTCCCTTCTGGCTCAGGTAGTTCCACAAAGCCTTCAGTGCCCTGCAACATGGGAATGGGAGTACAGTATTGGGGTTATATTCTATGAACTGAGTGATGAAGAGAAAGAAAAAGGAATAAGAAGCACAAAAGTGTTTTCTTCCCATCTCTTCTTTTGATGTTTTGAATTAAGGCAGTTGAGCTTGGATGCAAAGAGACCAATTCTTTGCCAAGTGTTCAAATATCTTGGGTCTTATATTAATCTTCCATTCGTCATCTCCTTGAACCTCCCCAAACCCCAGAACCCTGTGCTCCTCTAGGCCTCCACTGACAGAGACACTGCCTAGGTACCATTTGTGGCCCTGGCAGGCCGTTTCATCAGCATTGGCCTGGTACTCAGCATTCTTTTTATTGACACTGTAGTTGGTCAGGTGCATGAACTTGTTACCAAGGCTCTTCATGGAAGGAGAATACCTGAAAGGAGGAGAAAGGCAGAGGTAAGATAAGGTAATGGATAAGTGGACAGATCTTTTCAGAGGCGCAAGAGCCTCAGAAGTACGTGTGGAGATAAGGTTTCTAGAACAGCACAGCTAAACTCCTCTCCTTTATCCAACCTCAGTCCTGCAGGAAGACCTTCCCCAGATTCACTGAAGTAGAGAACCTCCTTTTTCACATTCCTCACATGATACTGTGATTTATAATATTGTGATTTATAATCCTTACCCTCAGTTTTCTGACACAGTTCCTAAAAACCTTGTAAAATCCCAAGTGCTAAGAACATTAGAGCATCTTCTTTCTAACATTGGCCTTTGGCCCAGTTCCTAACAGGTCTCCTGAAACCCTTGTGAAGTCCTATGTAGTAAGAGTGACTTTTATTCCACTGAATAGCGTTGGGGTGGGCTCCTGGGTAAGGCTGGTCACCAGAAAGAATGAGCCATGATTATAAAGCTTGGAATTTTCAGCCTGGCCCCCCATTCTCTTAAGATGGGAGATAGGCTGAAAATGGATGAGCATGACCCATCATGCCTACGTGATAAAGCCTCCATAAAACCCCAAAAGTACGGGGTTCAGAATGCTTCTGGGTAGGTGAACGTGTGGAGGAGGAGGGAGAATCGTGTCCCCAGAAGAGGAATGAAAGCTCTAGCCTACACATCTCTTCCATCTGGATGTTCATCTATATTTTTTATCCTACTCTTTCACAATAAACCAGTGAACCTAAGTAAACTGAGTTCTGTGAGCCGCTCGACCAAACTAACAGAACCCTAGGAGAGGTCACGAGGACGTGACTTAAGCCAATGGGCCAGAAGCACAGGTGGCAAGGTGGACGTGTGACTGGCATCTGACGTGGGCAGTGGGGAGCCTTGTGAGGCTGAGCTCTTAACCTGTATGATCTGATGCTAACTCCAGGAAGATGGTGTCAGAATTGAGTTACATTGTGGGACACCTCGCTGGTATTGCAGAGATGTGCTTGGTGTGGGTAAAAGTCCCATATATTTGGTGACCAGAGTGTCCGAAGCAGATACAGAGGAGGAAAGGAAGACTAGATTTTCCTAAATATACATCAAGTTCTCCTTTGCTAACAAAAACTACCAAAACCTCTGTTATTTTCCTGTTGGGTGTCCTCCAGTTCCTGTTCCTCTCAGGAAAGCAAATCCCCAGGGCTGTCAGGGTGACATCTCACCACCAGCACATACTTGCAACTGGCAAAGCGGACGAGTCCATCTGAGAAGAGGTAAATCCGCAGAGGATCATAGCAGGTGACGTAAACATAGATTCGCAGATCAAATTTGCTGCCGCTGATGAGGTAGGGTTTGTGTAGGTACCTACACACAGAAAGGCCAGCTTCAGGGACATGAGAGGCGAGGCAGGGCTCCGAGGGTAAGTAACTGAGCCATGACAAAAGCTAGCCAACAGTCCCCGAGAGAAAAACTAAGACAGCTGGTTGAGGACAGTCTTTGGCTGGAAGGACAAAGGACAGAAGAACATGACGAAATGGGAACTGTCAGGCTGAGGAAATGAGAAAAGGGGAAAGGGAATCTGAGCGGCGGCACTCACCTCTGCACCAGAAGGGGCCTTTTCTTGGGGAGCTGACTCCACTTGTGAATGACCTGGATGCCAATGCCCCGAGCTGATGCTGGCTAGAAGTGCACAGGAGATGAGGTTTGCTCCTGGCCAATACTCTGCCGTTCCCATTCTCAGACCCTGACCTACTACCTCACTGGGACCCACTCACTGGTTTAACAATCCACTTCTGGCGGCTGTTGCTCTCCCAGGTCTTGCGCAGGAGCTTGGCATCCTGGGGCAGGATGAAAGACTGGGGGAAGAAACTGAACTCCTTCTTGCCAAAGCAGCTCTGCATGCGGGATAGGTTCCGCCACAGCCGGTCCTTGCGCCCAATTTGGAAGGAACCTGGAAAGTGGTTTAGCTACAGGAGGGACAAAGGGTGAGAGCAGGGAGAAGGCCCAGGTAAGATCATGAGGAAGATGGCAGGACTCACTCTCCCATTCCAACTTCCTTAGCAACTTTCTAAGCTCCTGTTCGATCCTCTTTTCACCATCTCATGGTCCCCAAGAATTCAGCTGAGCAAAAATTGGTTTGGCTCAGTGGATAGAGCATCGGCCTGCGGACTGAAGGGTCTCAGGTTTGATTCCAGTCAGGGGCATGTGCCTTGGCTGCGGGCACGTCCCCAGTGGGGGGTGTGCAGGAGGCAGCTGATCGATGTTTCTATATCATTGATGTTTCTAACTCTCTGTCCCTTTCTCTTCCTCTCTGTAAAAAAATCAGTAAAATATATTTTAAAAAAAGGAATTCAGCTGCCAAAACAACAAAATTTAGTGCCTTCCAGGAGCTGACAGTTCATGACATATAATACCAATTAAGGCAGACATGATATCCACCTTAAGTGCAAAGAAAAAGCTATTAAGTCTTTTTCCACGACAGCCTAAATACAAAGATAAGAAAGTACCTGGCCTTCATTCATTAAGGCTGAGGCAAGGGACTCACTCATTTCAATATGAGACCAGAGGCCTCTTTATACACATTCAGCTTGGAGGAAGGGGGCAAAGTGGTTACAGGGGAAACAATAAACTGAAAACAGTGGTTACAGGGGAAACAGTGGTTACAGGGAAAACAGTGGTTACAGGGAAAACAGTGGTTACAGGGGAAACATTATTCTCTGTGACTAGAGAACAGATGCTGCATCTCTAGTCACAGAGAATAATGTCTTTGAGAGGCTGTGACTGCCCCAGTCACTGCAGCTGAACTGCTAAATGTGTGTGCTCCGCCAGGTCACACTGCACCCTCTCCTGTACTTTCTCCACTCCTCTGTAAGCCTTTCTGACTTCTCTGTGTCATCCTCCTCTTCCCCCACTACCAGTCTCCTCCTCCAGCCCGAACCCCTACAGAGCACCTCAAAAAGCGCTCCTACCTTCTGGTACCCCCGAAGAGACCGGAAGCTGGAAGACTTCATGTGGTGTCCCCAGCAGCCCAGCCAGTCATCGTTTCCTATGGGAGACACATCGGGGGGTCAGGCCCTAGGCAGAGAGATCCCCAGGGGCCCGATCCCTAGGGTCAGGCCCTAGGCAGAGAGATCCCCTGGGACTGGGCGCAGAGCTCCTGGACCTGTTTTCTAGGAGTTACCATGGAGCTTCCCACATGAGGTCCTGGGGTCCCGGGTAGAACAATGACACTCTGCCTTCCAGTTTTGAGGGATAGGCTCCAGCACAGGAGTTCAGAGCTATGTCCTATGAGACTGGCAGCTTCAGGACAGGATCCCCACAGAGCAGGAAGCATCCAGGCTCCCTGCCTCTCAAAGCCCATCTGTTAGAACAGGTTCAGAATAAGGCAAGGGACTCACTCTTGCTGACTTTGAAGTGGGACCGTCCAATGGTCTGTTTGACAATGTTCGGGGTCACTGAGCTCATCTTCCACCGCAGCAGCTTCCTTTGTTCCCAGGGAAGTTTCTCCACTGGGAGAAAGTGGGAGGAAGAGCAGGAGAGTCATGGTTAAAAGAGGAAATAGATGGCATTATTGCTCAACCTTTCCTGGGAAGGTAAGTCCCTAAGTATTGTTTCTGATCAGAGTTTCAGTGGGGAAGAGGGGGGGGGCAACACAGGAATGAGCGCAGAAAGGAGGGGATGTTGAAAGGGAAAAGAAACAGGTTAGAGGGCAAGAATAATGTATGAGATTATGGGCTGAGAAGGACCAGCTCATGGACAGACAGGAAAAAGGTCGCACATCGGACCGGTGAACCAGGCGAAGAACCAGCACCGTAAGAGACATTCTGGGAAGCCCCTCCAATCCTTTTGCCATCTCCTCCAAACTTCGCTGGCCCCTTTCTCCCGGGCTCTTCTGGCTTACACAGCTGGCCAGGCTTACCTTTCTCATTCCGAGTGCCAAAGTAGATGGTAGGAGGAACATTGGGAAAGAGACTGTAGGTAAGGGCTGGCCGAACAACTTTTTCATTGGAAAGAGGTGTGGTCAGAGCCTCGATGCAGCCCCTAAGAAGAGAAACAGACATATGGTACCAAGGGAAGGCCATGGTCCCGAAGTATTGTTACTACTACATATAATTTCTTTGGAAGTGCTGTCTTTTAATTGTACTTCTATAAGTGCTCAATGATTATTTTGCAAATATCAATAAGGTGCTAACCTATATAAAGTCACACCTTTAAATGTCATCTGAAGACAAGGCTTTTGATACTTCATTCTGTAATACAGCTCCAAAATTTCCTGTGACAAGCTACAGGCTGAGGAAATCCCCGAAAAGAGTGGATTTGGCCCTCGCTGGTTTGGCTCAGTGGATAGAGCGTCAGCCTGCAGGCTGAAGGGCCCCAGGTTTGATTCTGGTCAAGGAAACATGCCCAGATTGCCAGTTTGATCCTCAGTAGAGGGTGTACAGGAGGCAGACAGCCGATCGATGATTCTCATCATTGATGTTTCTATCTCTCTCTCTCTTCCTCTCTGAAATCAATAAAAACCAAATTAATTAATTAATTAATTTATAAAAAAGAGTGGTTCTGAGAGCAGGTAATGAGTTTGGGTGGCTACTAGTAGAGGAATATGCGACACTAAGATAAAGAGAAATAAATGAAGAGAGAAAAAGAATGATACGAATAATTTAAAAAGGGGAAAAGCAACAAAAAGAAAATAGTGATACTTTCAACTCATTTTATATTTAGGCTTTTCTGAAGATAAACATGGTTGATTAATGCTCTCCTCCATGTTGGAAGTGATTTGACACTAAATTATGTAACAACTAGAGGCCCGGTGTATGAAATTCGTGATGGGGGGTGTCCCTCAGCCCAGCCTGCACCCTAATCTGGAACCCCTAGAGGGATGTCCGACTGCCCATTTAGGCCCGATTCCAACATCCCTCTCATATAATTTTTTTTTTTTTTTTAAAGCAAGATAGGGATGTAAAATGGTATAGCCACTCTAGAAAATAATTTTGGAAGTTTTTAAAAAAAACTATTTGTACCCTAAATGGTTTGATTTAGTGGATAGAGCGTTGGCCTGTGGACTGAAGGATCCCTCGGGTTCAATTCCAGTCAAGGGCACATGCCCAGATTGCAGGCTCAATCCCCAGTAGGGAGCATACAAGAGGCAGCTGATTAGTGATTCTTTCTAATCACTGATGTTTCCATCTCTCTCCCCCTCTCCCTTTCTCGCTAAAATCAATTTTAAACACACACACACACACACACACACACACACACACACACACACACATCTATATATATAAAAGCACAGCGACCCTTATGGTGGAATGATCAGAATGACTGGTTGCTATGATGTGCACAGACCACCAAGGGGCAGACGCTCAACACAGGGTAAGGAGTGAGCAGGCAGGCAGTTAGGAGCGAGGGGTCTCTCCCTGCAAGAGGGATCTTGCATTGCGAGAGGGTGCAGGCCAGGCTGAGGGTTCCCCCCAACCCCCTGCACAAATTTCGTGCATTGGGCCTCTAGTATATATCTCCTAAACATGCAATTACCAGATGACCCAGAATTGCACTACTGGGTATTTATCTCAGAGAGATGAAGACTTACGTTCATGCAAAAATATGTACGTGATGGTTTCATAATAGTCCCAAACTGGAAACAACCCACATAACCTTCAGCAAGTGAATGGTTAAACAAACTGGCACATCCATACCATGGATACTACTCAGTAATAAAAAGGAATGAACTACTGATATGTGCAACAACCAGGGTGAGTGTGCAGAGACTATGCTGAGTAAAAAAACCCAATCCCAAATGGCTACATCATTCCATTTGTGTAACATTCTTGAAATGTCAAAATTACAGAACAAATCAGCAGTTGCCAAGGGTTGGGAGGTGTTGGGAATAGGAGGAAAGTGTGGCTCTCGGGACAATAACAGGGGTCCTTGCAGTGATGGGAATGTATCTTGACTAATGTTGGTATCTTGGTTATACTACAATATACCATGTCTTTGCCAAATTTTACCATAGGGGGAAACTGAGTAATTTGGGGGATCTCTATATATTATTTATTACAACTGCATAAGAATCTATAATTGTCTCAAAATCAAAAGTTTAAAAAAGTTTAAAAAGACAGAAAATTTTTGTTAGCTGCCTCTCAAGAGTACTGGACTTAGCCTTTCCTAAAGAGACAGAATATGAGCATCTACAATGATCCATACAACCAACACTCACCGAGAGATCACTGCTATCGACTCGTTGGAAGAGACAGCACTGAATGAGGAGCACTCTGAGTCTCCTGGCAGGGGGGAAGCAGAGAAGTTCTAATGGGAAAGGCTGCTGCACAGACTCAGCAAGCCCAGGCAGCTCTTGCTTGGCCGTTCCTGGCTCCGCCCTGCTGCCTTGTGCTGCCTTCTTTGAGCACAACAGCAGCAGGGCGAAGGCAAGACTGGTGGGACGGCAGGACTAGAGAACAAAGTCCCTCAAAAGCCATTCCCCACCGCCCTGGGCCCCCAAGGTGGATGAGTAATGCAGGTGACAAAGTGGGTCTAAGACGTGGAACATAACTGTTAGCCCCCTTCCCTAGCGGTCGTGACCAATGCCCAGTTGGAGTGAAAGGGCCCCCTACTCACCCTCCTCCACTTCATTCCCATCATTGCTGCAGCAGTCTTCCAAACCGTCTATCAGCTCTTCTTCTAGATCCTCAGCCTCCCCCTGGTCTGGCTGGAGGTCAGCAGCTGAACTGTAAGAAAGAGCCATAGGCCAAGCCCGGCCAGTTCCGTAACAGAGGTCACAGTTAGGGTTCTCCTTCCTTCACCATCTTCCAGCGTTTGTCTCTTTCCTGGCCACCAATCTGCTGTCTGTTGCCTGAATCTCAGTTTATTTCCCTTGCTCTCAGAGCTTAGGTCTAGCCCTAGTTCCTCAACCCTGCACCCCCGTTCTGCAGAGACACTATGTCTTCCATCTGCTTTGAAGTCCCTCCGAGTGTATAATCCCAAAACTCTGCATTCAGAACACCACCAATGAATGTCTGGTCATTGGCTCCAAAGTCCCTAGATCACTCTCTGGGAACTTAAAACAAGAAAATCCTTGGTGAATCAGATTAGTAACAAGGAGCTGAGAGAAGAAACCAAGTACATGCATGCCCTAACTCTGAAATGGCTCTCATTCCAAGAATGACTGAGAACCTGATCTGGTTTGGAATTAAGTAGAAAAGTCACAGGCCCCAGGTCGTGTGTTTGGAATGTTTATTTTTCCCTGGTTATAACCTAAAGCAGGGCTCAACAGACTCTTCCGCTAAAGGACCAGACAGTAAATATTTTCAATTTTGTGATCCAGTCTGTCACAACTACTCAACCCTATCATAGCAACAAGCAAGCAGCCATATAGTACAGCAGTAAATGAATAGTCGAGGCTGCATTTCAATAAAGTTTTACAAAAACAGTGTGCGGGATTTGGCTTGGAAGCTGTAGCATGCAGACCTTTGCCCTAAAGTGAAAACCATAACTCTAGATCAGCTAAAAACTAAAACCAACCTTCAGAGACACAGGGCCAGTGTCCGTGAGTTTGGGTATATATAGTCTGTTGCTCTAAATGAACCAAAACTCCCTCCAACTTACCCAGTATCTTCAGCAAGTGAGTCCAGCTTCCTGGCTCCTACAGGCTCCTCCTTCCCATGCTGGTCCAGATGGATAGAAGAGAGGTGGTAGGCCACAGCTGCTAAGTCACAGCGCTGAGCGGGAGAAGGCAGCACAGGCGTCTTGTCTTCTCCTGGAGGCGGTGGGGGGTCGACCGCAGACCCACAGACAGGGCTGTGGCTGAGCTCACTGGCGTGTGAGGCGAGGAGGTGAATGCTGATGCATTTGGTACAAAAGACTGTACTGTCCAACTCCAAGGTGTCTGAGGCTCCAGGGAGGATCCTGTTGTCTGCGGGGGTGCCCTCCTGGGGGCACTGCTGGCGTACCACAGAAGGTTTCCACCGCCTGCTCCTTTTGAGATCATCCCATTGCAAGCTTGGGTTCCCAAAACAAGACTGTCCAAACTGGGGGCCTTGCCTCGGCTTCTCAAAGCTTCTTGCAGTCAACTGCCTCACAGCCTCAGTGAACGGAGCATCCTTGGTCAGAGCCTGGGAAACGGGGTCGCCATTCAGGCCACAGGGATGTGGCTTTACCCTCATGACTAAGTTACTGTGGTTGTACTGGGGAGAGGCAACACTGGTGGCGGAAGTGTGTAAGGAGCTAGGGGTAGACACGGTGCTATGGGCAAGGGCACCGTGTATAACAATGCCATTGCTCTTGGGTACCTTGTGCTCAATGGGCTGGAATGCACAGTCTCCAGTGCCCCCTGAATGATGCCAGGACACAAGCTGGATTTTGGGTGAGGATGATGGCTTCAGGCCCTCTGGGGCCTGTGATGAAGGCACTTTGGTGGTGCTTGGCCGCGTGAAGGAGTTACTCAGCGTGGGCTTGTAGGAGGGTGGAGATGGGATCTTCCCTGAGAAGGCGGAGGCCAGCCTCTTCCCGGAAGGGTTCTCCCCGGCTGCTCCCAGTGTGAGGTATGGATCTATGGCGGGGCGTGCCACGGGCTGGGCCATGGGGGAGACCGTGGAAGACGTGGCCTGATTGGCAGTGAGTCTGTCAAGGAGGCTCTTTTGGGGTCTCTTCTCTGACGAGCTTGCACGTAAGCAGAGAGACTCCAGCTGCTGGTATGCTTTGTGTCTATGGTTGAGGCGGCGGTACAGCAGGGCACTGCTAAGCAAGTCCGGGACAGAAGGCAGGGAGCAGGTGTTGCTGTGGCCTGCAAGGGCAGCTGCGGTCCCAGAGCTACATGAAATGCTGGGACAAAAGAAATACGTTGGCTGGGTTGGGGGGCCCAAGAGGTGGAGGTCCAATCCTGCTGACAGGGTGCTCACGTGCTTCTCCAGCTTCTGGCTTGTCTCCGCCTGCTGAGGAACCGGAAGACCAGACCTTGTCCTCAGAGGACTTCTCAGATGGCACTTTGCCAGAGGGACCACTCTGTGCGACGCTATTTCTCTGGCCAACACTGTAGTGTTCAGTTCCTGCTGAGGCCATGAGGGGCCCACATCATGGTAGCATGGCCTCATGGCCCGGCTCAGGTAAGGTGCCACACATCTCCAGTAACAACAGCTGCATCCTCGAAGTCTGTCAGCCTGAAGGGGAGAGAAACAAAAAGACAAATACAATGTTACAGTGGTCCGTGGGTAAACAAGAGTCCCACTTCAGTATTTCTTGGGTGATCAGTCTTGGTCGTCAATTGGGGCCATGAGAGAAGAACACTAGATTCCTAGTGTTTTCAAGTGGTGTTCCTGCTGCCCTCACGTAATCAAACTGGCTACAGGTTTGGGACTGATAAAGTCCCAAGGACTGTGACTCAAAAGCTCTGCCAATGGGAGTCTGCTCACATGCTCACTCAGAGAGTGCCATCCTCTCTCCAAAAAAACCAAAAACACTTTTCTGTCTCACCATTCACAACTTTACTTGAGTGGTTTCTTCCTTCCTTCCCTCCTCTAACGCCATGGTTAGGAATAAGGCAATTATGGGAGTGGCATAGAAATCAGCCAATATCTTCCTCCTCTCCAACCAATTCTGAAGGTCAAAGATCATTCAAGAAACATATTTTACATCTACTGTTCCCTGACTAACTCTAAGCAACCCCTAGTGTGGTCTGCTTTCCACGAGTGTGACAAGTTCAGATATGGCAAAGGATTCTTCTTGCTGACTTCGAGTTCATTCTGGAGTTTAGACAGTAATTTCATCTCTTCAACAGTCTTGCCAACTGTATAAACTTTAATTACATCCCATGTGCTGATGGGAAATAGAAGAAACAAAGTAGATAACAATATTTTTTTTAATATATATTTTTACTGATTTCAGAGAGGAAGGGAGAGAGAGAAATATCAATGATGAGAGAGAATCATGGATCGGCTGCTTCCTGCACGCCCCCTACTAGGGATTGATCCTGCAACCTGCTCTTGACCAGAATCAAACATGGGACCCTTCAGTCCACAGGCCAAGGCTTTATCCACCAAGCCAAACTGACTAGAGCTAAATAACAATTTATTTATTTATTTATTTATTTATTTTACTTAAAATGACTATATCCAGCAGCCACAGTGGGACAGGAGAGTTTATAGAGAACACCGAGGCAAAAACAGGACAGAAGCTTTCTTTACTCCGTATCCCGGGCTTCAGTTTGGGCTGATCTTTCAAAAACAACCAACCACTTATTACTTGTTAAGTTTTCCAAGTCTCCCGGCACTCCCACTACTCACAGCCATGCTGTATCAGCAGCTACCACCCTCGGTGACTCACATAAGCAGAGCTCTGCCGAATAGCAAATCCATTCAATGCTAAAGCAACACAGCTGGAACGTTTGGGGAAAAGACAAGCGAGAAAGTACCATAACCCCCACTACCTAGTGGTGAGATCAAATCAGAAAATTCACATGAAGCACAGTATGTAGTCCCTGCTAAACATTCAAGGGCTGGTGGTTATCACATTCATTTCTGATACCAAACGATCCGACCTTGGAAAACACATGGAGCAGGCCATAATCATTCCCACAGAATTTCAGCGTATAGTACAATACTCTTTTTTTCTAATACATATTTTTATTGGTTTTAGAGAGAGGAAGGGAAAGGGAAAGAAACATGGATGAGAGAGAGAGAGAAACATCGATGGGCTGCCTTCCACATGCACCCTGACAGGGGATTAAATCCCAAACCTGGGCATGGGCCCCAACCACGAAATCATCTGGCAACCTGCCAGTGCACGGGACCATGCTCAACCAACTGAGCCACAGCGGCCAGGGCCAAGTAATACTCTTTTTTTATAAAAAGACACAACTGTCTGGTCATTTGGGAACTTCTGTGATATTTGTTATATTACCAGTAACTAGATTTTCAGCTGCAGTTGTAGTTTGGTGCTAAAAAATAACTGGAAAGTGGGAAATAGGATAATTATATCGTTTCTAAATACCTCTCCACCAGATATTTGTTAGTCATCAAGGGACACACCAGGACTTTACAGCAGAGAAACCTGGCAGACCTTACTTGAATCAAGCGGTCAAAACTGTCACTATCAGAAATAGAACAAATTGACATTAAGTGCCTCATAATATGACGCCTTTAGAACATATCATTGCTTCTCTAATTTCCTGACAAAAATGCATATATTGAAGGCGTGAGAAAGATCAGACAAGACCAAATTGAAGGTCATTCTACAGAATAACTGGTCTGTACTCTTTAAATGTGTCAAGCTCATTAAAAAACAAAAAAGGCTAAGGAACTATTCAGATTAAAGGAGACTAAAAAGACATGACAACTGCCCTGGCCGGTGTGGGAAGGTCGTACTATGAACTAAAGGGTCTCAGGTTCAATTCCTGGTCAGGGTACATACCCAGATTGCAGGTTTGATCTGCAGACCGGAGTGCATGCAGGAGGCAATCAATCGATGTTTCTCTCTCACATCAAAATTTCTAAAAAAAACAAAACAAAAAAACACATACCCATACACAAAAAAAATTATCCTCAGATGGGCACTAAAACAAACTAACAAAAAAACCAACCATGACAACTAAATACATGTAACCTGAAACAGATAAAGGACAAAACAATTGATGATATTTGAACATGGCAGATCGGATAAAAGCATTATAGCATACTAGTGCCCCAGTGCACTGATTTGTGCACACTGAAAAGAAATTAATTAGGAGGTGGCCAGCAGGGCTGGACTGGGCAAGATGGGCTGGAGAGGCCTGGAGCCAACCTCCCGAGGTCCCTTCCCAGCCAGCCGCACCTGGGGCAGCACCATGGCTTGAAGGGGTCCCTCTGGCAGGTGGGGGTCCCTCCGCCTGGCCTCTGGGGATTGAGCTGAAACCGGCTCTCCAACATCCCTCTAGGGGTCCCAGATTGGGAGGGGGCAGTTCTCAGGTGACGCACCCCAAAATCGGGCTCCCTCCTCTCTGGTTCCGGGATGTGTCACCCGAGAACTGCCCTGCTAGGTGACCACAGCTCGGCAGCTCCTGCATTGAGGGTCTTCCCCCTGGAGGTCAGTGCTCATCATACCTAACAGACGATAAGACAGTTGTTTTGGCTTTCATATATATATATATATATATATATCTCCCAGTGCACAAAATTCTTACACAGTGTGTGTGTGTGTGTGTGTGTGGGTGTCTCAGCCCAGCCTGTTCCCTCTCATAGTCCAGGACACCTCAGGGGGTATCCGACTGCCAGCTTAGGTAAGGTGTCACATATCCTGAGATGGCAGAGGCTAGCCTTTTTATTATACAGGATTCTGTGGCCATAAAAAGTAGCTTAAAGCCATTGGATGGCTCCAAGGCCTATGCAATCTGACTCCTGAGTCGTCTTCTGACCTTATCAGCCATTCCCCCCGCCCCGCACAGGCAAGTTCCAGTACCCCTCACTCCTTACCGCCCGCCTGCTTGCTGCTCCTTACTGCTCGGTCACTGTTCCCACCATTGCACTGTGCTCGCCAGCCATGAGTCCAGCTTCTGGCTGAGCAGCGCTTCCTCTGTGGGAGTGCACCGACTACCGGGGGGCAGCTCCTGCTTTGAACATCTGCTCCCTGATGGTCAGTGTGCATAATAGTGAACAGTTGTTCTGGCAGTGTTCTGCAGTTTGGTCAATTTGCATATTAGGGTTTTATTATATAGGATGGTATTACAACAATGTTAATTTCCTGATTTTGGTCATCATATGTGGCAATGTAAGAGAATGTCATTGTTTTAGAAAATATTTAGAAACTGTCTAGAAAATATTCTGATGTAAAGGGCATCATGTCTGGAAATTACTCTCAAACATTAAAAAAAAAAAAAAAAAAAGTCCACAGTTCACATAAGAATGAATAATAAAGCAAGTGTGGAAAATATTAACATTTGATAACTCTGGGTAAAAGTAAATAGGAATTCTTTGTACTATTTACAACTTTTTGTAGGTCTGAAATAATTTCAAAATAAAAGAAGTTAAAAAAAGAAAAATCTACTTCAACTTTTCTTTGAAATTTGATTGGCAAGAATGGATTTTACTAGTGAATGACTCAAGCCAACACAGTAAAACTCACTCCTGGTTCCATTACCTGAAGCAGGCTTGACTGGGCGACCCACCTGCACTGCGGTCACATGCCTGATGAAGTCTCACCAAAACACCAGTCTTTCCAGTGCAGCCACTCCACTCCCATCTGCCAGAGAATGTGTAAGCTATGGCTGAGGGAGTTTAAGGAGGAAGGCACACACACACCGGGCAGATGAAGTTTTAACGGCACTTTCTTGGGGGAATCTCCAATTTTTTTTAAAAAGGTGCTGTTAAACCTGATTCTATGTGAACACCTCACTACCCAACAAAACACAAGTCCTGTCTTGCCTTCAACTGAGAGAGCAGCTGCTGTCAACACCAACCTGAAAAACAGGAACCTAGATGCTAAAATAAGGACTTGAGGGTTAGAGTCAAGAAAACAAGGGGGCAGTGTGGGAAGCTCAAAGTTCTCTATGACTGCTGTTATTCAAGGAAAGGACACATGATCTTTTAATCTTCTTGAAATTAGATGGGAATGT